CTGGGGGGGAGAGAGAGCAGGTAAAGCTCACCTGGGGACACCTGGGGACACCTGGGGACACCTGGGGACACCTGGGGGACACCTGGGGACACCTGGGGACAGCTGGGGACACCTGGGGACACCTGGGGACACCTGGGGACAGCTGGGGGGGAGAGAGAGCAGGTAAAGCTCACCTGGGGACACCTGGGGGTACCTGGGGAGGGACACCTGGCTCAGGTGTGGGGGGACCTTAATCCACTGGGGGGCCCCTCACCTGTCCTGACCCCTCACCTGTCTGACCCTCACCTGTCCTCACCTGTCCCTCACCTGTCCTCACCTGTCCCTCACCTGTCCCTCACCTGTCCTCACCTGTCCCTCACCTGTCCTCACCTGTCCTCACCTGTCCTCACCTGTCCCTCACCTGTTCTCACCTGTCCTCACCTGTCCTCACGTGTTCCCACCTGTCCTCACCTGTCTCAGCTGCCATGAGGATTTGGGACCCCCTTTACCTGTGGGCCCACCTGGGGCTGCTCCTGCACCTGTGGCTCTGCGGTGAGTGGGACTGGGGGGGGACAGGTGAGGGTGGGACAGGTGAAGGGGGTGGGACAGGTGATGGGGGACAGGTGAGGGGTGGAACAGGTGAAGGGGGTGGGACAGGTGATGGGGGACAGGTGAGGGGACCCTGGCACCCTCAGGTGAGCCCAGGTGAGCTCACCTGTCCGTGTTCCGTGTTCAGGTGCGCCCCCAGGTGCAGCAATGCCGCCCTCAGGTGCGACCCCAGGACCCCCAGGTGAGCCCCTGACACCCCCAGGTGAGCCCCAGGTGAGGTCCTGGTGCCCAGGTGAGCTCACCTGTCCGTGTTCCGTGTTCCAGACGTGCCCCCAGGTGTGACCCCGACACCCTCAGGTGAGTCCGTGACACCCCCAGGTGTCCCCAGGTACCCCCAGGTGAGCCCAGGTGAGCCCCAGGTGAGCCCTGTCCCCCCCAGCCGAGCTCACCTGTCCCCGTTGCGTGTCCCAGGTGCGCCCGAGGAGGGCCAGGTGCGCCTGGCCGGGGGCCCGCACAGGTGCGCGGGGCGCGTCGAGGTGTTCCACGCGGGCAGGTGGGGCACGGTGTGCGACGACGCCTGGGAGCTGCCGGACGCGCAGGTGAGCTGCCGCCAGGTGCGCTGCGGCCCCGCCCTGGCGCTGGCGGGCTCAGGTGAGTTCGGGCCAGGTGAGGGCCCCATCTGGCTGGACGAGGTCACCTGCGAGGGCTCGGAGGCGGCGCTGGAGCTCTGCCCCGCCCACACCTGGGGACAGCACAACTGCCACCACGGAGAGGACGCGGGGGTCGTGTGCGCAGGTGAGCGGGGACAGGTGGGGACAGGTGAGGGGACAGGTGAGGGGACAGGTGGGAACAGGTGAGGGGACAGGTGAGGGGACAGGTGGGGACAGGTGGGAACAGGTGAGCTGTGACAGGTGAGGGGACAGATGGGAACAGGTGAGGGGACAGGTGAGGGGACAGGTGGGGACAGGTGAGGGGACAGGTGGGGACAGGTGGGAACAGGTGAGCCGTGACAGGTGAGGGGACAGGTGAGGGGACAGGTGGGAACAGGTGAGGGGACAGGTGAGGGGACAGG